CGTAGATAAAATTGTCTAAGCCAGTATTCTTAAGATTATATGTAGCCATATAAGGCAAAAATTTAATATCTAATAAAAGATATGAGGCAAGACCTCACCTTAACACCGGAAAAAAAAAAAAATTACGTAGATAATTTTTACTACATATACCATCTTTCATATATAGAGAAGATGGTTTAAGAAAACCACAAAAACCATAAATCATATGTTTAGTGACTATTTGATAAAGCTAAGGTTGAGTAATTGGATAAGGAATCCTAGCAGAAATCAAATTATCATAAGCATTAGAAGTTTGTGGTTTATCTTCAGTAGTAAGTATAATAAGTATATGAGTATATGGTAATCCTCATTTTTGAAATTTAATAATATGGATATGAGCCACGCAAAGTCCCAAAATATCTTTTTTATACAAATTATCAGTAATTTCTTTAAGCTTCAATCTAAAGACCCTTGAAATAATATCAGGACGATCATTAGATTTTTGGTCTTGTAGAAGATTCTTAATTATTTCAGGCCAATTGGGATTACAGGTAACAGTTATAAAAAGATCAGGCTTACCAAATTCTCTTATAGTAGCCATAGTATCTTGATATAACTGTTGCATATATCTTTTTGAACCAGTAAATAAAGAAGGCAAAATTATTTTTTTTTAATTTCAAGAGGATTAGCTTCATCATTATTAATAATATCTTCTAATCCTTTATAATATTCAACTCGTAATTGAGGTTGATTATTTTTAAACTATCTTAAATAATTTTGCTCCTATTTTGTATACTAGTTAATGATATATTGCTGAAATAAGTGACTAGCAAGATGTAAAATGCTATTAAAATCTCTTATTTGTAACCTATGACATACAAATTCTCTAATTGTTACATGTTTTCGTTGTTGCTGGAAATCAGTAGGATCTAATGGCAAAGTATTTAATTGATTATAATTAAAATTTAAATTATCATCAGCATTAGAACTCTGATCAGTTACAGTTGAATGCATAATTTCAGTATGCTATCTATAAACTCCTCTTGGAAAAAGAAGTGGATACTGTAAAAAATCATAAGCACTATGTAATTTTGAGATGTATTACAAAGAAACCTGTTGTGTAGTAAGAATAATATCTCTATCAGAATCAATTGTATCATTATCAGTAATTATAGCAGCAATTTCAGAAGCAACTGGTAAATTATAATTTCTCATATCTTGAGAAGATATATTAGAAATTTTTAATTTTAAAGCAGGATTTCTTGTGGCTTGCTATCCAGCACTTTGAAATATTTGAACAAAAGGATTAATATGATCAAGTTCAGTTTGTAAAGATCTCATCATATTCAAATTTAAATTTGGAGATGCTTCATTTCTTAATACAAACTGGGTATCAAAATTACTATCATAGAAATCAATTTGTGCAAATTTAGGCTGCCCACTTGGTGATATTAAAGAACCTATATTATGATATAAAGCTTCTTGAATTCTAAAAATATAAGGTTTGCCTACTTCAAATATGCTATGATCTGTAGTTATATCTAAAGATATAAAAGCAAAAGCAGAATTATAGAACCTTATATTTTGAACATATCTCTCACCAGTAGTAATATCAAATCTAGTTAATAACTGTGATATAGCTAGTGAAGGTGGTTCAAGTAATGCTAATTTAATTTTACTATTAAGGTAACAAAATCCTGGTAATTCATTTTTTCACTTTAAAGCTTGACAATAATTATATTTGATATCCAAATTACTAAGCTTATATTGCCAAATAGAAAGATCAAAGCCATCTTCTAATTCAAAATTAAAATTATCCAAACTACATCTTGCAATATTTCTATATTTATTTACTTGTTGAATTGCTTTTGTTGCTTTATAATTTTGTTGTCGTAATCGATTGTCTTCTTTGCATTGTAAATTTGATAATAATGAATTTAATATTGTTAATTCAGTAAATGTTTCTGCTAATGTCATTGAAATAAATGACTGTGATCCACCTAATGTTGATTTTAATTCTAAGTTTGTTGGTGTTATAGCTGCTATTGTTGATATTATATTTGATATTGTTACTACTGGTATTGTTGCTATTGTTGCTACTATTGTTGCTATTATTGCTGTTGTTGTTGTTGCTGTTGTTACTGTTGTTGCTATTGTTGCTTCTGTTGTTGATACTGTTGTTGATGCTGTTGGTAATATTGATACTATTGGTGCTATTGCTATTGCTATTATTGCTGCTATTATTACTGTTGTTGCTACTGTTAGTGCTACTGTTGTAGATACTGTTGTTGCTACTATTGTTAAAGATGTAGTTGCAGAAGTTGTTGCAGATATTAGTGGTAGTATGGAGATTGCAAATATAAATATAGATGATTCAATTATTAAATTAGAATTTTCTTTATACCATTTGGTAATAGCTTTTCTTTTTCTATCTAATCTTCTGGTTTTTTAGTCTTTGTTTTTGGTT